AGGAGTAAGAAAATTACTCATGTAAAACGAGTCATGTATCACAGTGAGTCAACTGAAGAGTAATGAGATTGTAAAACAGCACAGAGGGTTTATCCGAATAGTTTAGATTTTCAACAGAATTACACAGGTATTATTTTGGCAGATGATAAAGTTTAAGAACTGGCTGTTCCCTGATCTTGATGATAAAGGAGAAGGAAGGTATAGAGAGGTATAGAGTTTCATATCTTGTCGAACAGTGAAGGATAGGGAAGGGCTGAGATTCCATTTTTTGGCCCAGTCTTGCTTGAATACAAAGAAAATGGGCAAGGCAGTGAGATTTACAGGAAATCTTCTTCCAGTGTGTTCAACCTTAACAGATAAGAAAAGTGACAAGACTAGGCTTTTTGTTTGTTCTGTTAAAATTTGTACTGCGCAACAGTACAGCTACTTTTCAGCAGTGCTGGGGTTTTAATATGCAGCTCATAAAAGGATGTTAGCATTTTGAAAATGTCAGGCGCTAAATGCTAAGCCCACTGAAATCACTGGCAGCCTTACCTGCACAAGACCATGAAGGTCAAGTTATATAGAATCTCTTCTAAAAGTGAAATCAGAACAAGGGATTGTTTGCTTAGGTTTAGCTCAAACAGAAGAATATGAATGGGAAGTAACTACTTTTAGCTGCACATTGTGATTCTGTAAGATATGTATTATCCTTTTGTATGTATTCCCTCTGCCCTCATTCAAAGTCAATTAGCAGTTCAATGAAGAACCTAATTTAAGATGTTTTACAACTCTGTGATGATATGATAGTTGCAAATAGTATTGTTACCCAGGAGAAGACCCATCTGTATAGAGAGTAAGGAGAGGACCGTGCATTATGTAAAAGCTTCATAATCCCTCTTCTTGAAGGTTCTTTAATGCACATTTTGTCCAATTTGCTTTCTTCAGAAAACTGAATAGCATTCCTGTTAAAAGTTTTACCTGTAGAAGTGATTTGGGGGCACATATATACTTAGCACTATGTGATTCCTGGAACAGATTTTAAAAGTATATGTAAAATGTGACTCCCCACTTTCCCCCAGTGAACCTGGAATGTGGGACCCAAGAAAAAAAATCAAAACAACTTATTGAAGAGATGATAGTTCAAAAAGATACTCTTCTTTTAAAAAATGAGAAAGGTGCTGAGTATTTGAGTATTAATTACAATAGGTTCTGCCATAACAGGACCACAGTATATGATAAGGAAAAAAAACCCCAAGCAAAACACTTCAAGAGCTTCTTGCTGTGCATAAAAGACATATATTCTATTTATTCCATTGCTATATTTGTAAATGCTTCAAGTGTCTGAAACAGCTGTAGAAACGCTGATGATTGCCTGACAGAAAAATCACAATTTCAAATTAGCAGAAAAAGATTTTTGTTCTAAAAAGCGATAACTTGCCTTCTGTTTTTGAAATCCTGCCATCATTATGTTTTACTGGAGAGTGGCAATTACTGTAATGTCATTCCATCTCTTGACAGCCCAAATTGCACTATATTTTTGCCTGCTTTTCGCTGTTCCCTGAGACCGTCCCTTCCCCCATGCCAACACAATACGAGGGCAGGAGGTTGGAGATGGCAGGAGGCAGCCGCATCAAGGCTGGTTCCAAGGAGCCCTCATCTCCCCTGCCTGACATGCTGGCTCTGCACAAGGCAGTGTCTGGTCTCTACATAAAGTCAACATTTTGTCAATTGTAGATTTTTTGTGTCTGCTTAAACAACAAAAATCCCTCAACACGCCACAAACCCCCCTAAAGAGACAGGTTGTTTTGACAGCCTTTCTGGTACTGAATAACAAGACCATACAGCATCTTTCTAACAGGTATGATTTCACTTTGAGATACTGAGCACTTTCCTTCTCCCCCCCATCCTTCCCTAATCCTGTACAGGCATCTTGAAGGGTTTTACTGAAAAGTATTGATTGGTCTTTCAGAGGATACCAATCATCACATCATCCAATAGTTTTTCTTATGCTTGTTTTCTCACCAGGATGTTGCTGAGGTTTTGGGGCCTCTTAAACTAGTGAGTTGTGTGCTTATGGACTCAGTCCAAGGCAGATTTGAAGTGGAATTGAGTGTATCTTTAAAAACTGACCCATACTTTTAAATGCTTAAAGTACTGTTTTCCTCCCTTGTTACATTATTTAAGTGAGCCAAATCCAAATTGCTTGGAGCTCCTTACAAGACATAAATCACAGCAAATGGTTGGAGATTTTATTCCTCATGCCTGTGTTTCTCAGATTTCATACAATGCTGATTTTCCAAAGAGAAAAATAGTATCTTAAAACATGCATAATAACTCTTCTAAGCACATCCTAAGGATAATAAACATGGCCTGTCATTTTCGTGACTTTTTTCATCCAACACACAATAGATGACTAAACTACATCAAGTCATGCTTGTGAAGACTATTTCCACAGTAATGAAGTTACCTTTGATAGAGTGGAAATGTATTGTGAGTTACTGAGAACACAGGTAGGGTTTGGAGCACTGCATGCATGTTTGGTCTTAAACTTTAAGACAGAAGGCACATTTTCAAGCACGGAGAATGTGTGTTTCAAACAGGGCCACTTTTACAAATTTGCCTTTTATTACTTTGTGTTAGAGGATTAGTTTAAGAGGTTTATTGAGTGCAAAGTATGGCGTACAGTTACTGTGAGCCACAGGTTTCCCATTAATGGTGTGACTTCAGTTTCCCTGCAAGAAATTCCTTAGTAATCAGTTGATTTATTTTGATGATACTGTATTCAAGGTGAGTTATGTTCTGTTCCTTTTAATTCTATAAAATGGAATCTGAATTTAAATAGTGTCATTGAATACTCATGGGAAAGAAATACACTGAATCACTAAGGTCTGTTTTGCAGCTGAAGCAGTTTACAGGATGCACACAGACAAACTCAGAATTGGGGGGGAAGGGGATGTCATTTTACAATGCAGCATTATGGAAAATAAAAATTCATATAAGAAAAAGCTTCTTTTGAGCTCTTCAGCTTTAGACAGAATTTGTCTTCAAGAGGATCCCTTTGTGCTGTCTGATGTTTGTCTCCGTGATAGATGGCCCCTTCTTTACTCCTGATGGCGTTACTACCAGTATACAAGAATTCCTTGCCAATCCCTCCAACAGCCTAAGGACAAATCTCTTGTTATCTCACTTCCTCATGTGGCACAGGACATAAAGCACTTATTTTCTTGCCGGTCTTGTGATGACCATTTCTCATCTTTGATTCTTTGCTGATCAGCTTCCTAACATCTTCAGGACATTTCTGTGGGAGAAATACTCTGCAGTGTTGCTAGAGCGAAGCACCCTGCTTAGAGACTGCAGAGATGCCACAGAGTGTCTTAGGGCAAGCAGAGGCTACACATTGAAGTGTTATTTAATGTAATGTGTTATTAAACTTTACCAAAACAGAGGCAGTAAAGCTACCAAATCCTGGAAGTGCTCGCTGCAAGCATACAAATCAGTGGTAATGTGCACGGATTATACTCTAAGCGACAGAGCAGCCAAAGGCTGTGCTTTTACAGCAAACTTTTGGATTGCTCTCTCTAGTGATCAAGTTTTACAGGTCATGATGCAAATCAAGTAGCTCTAAGACAGGAATAGCTGAAAGTGATTGAACTGTGGGGAAGAGGAGTATGGTTTAATTTTTCAAGGCTGACTAAGCCCTTTAATATAGCCAGAAAAATCACTGCTTCTGACTACTCCAAACCCTACTCCTGCCAGCTCCCAGCAAGGAGAATGAAAAAAGGCAGGTAGGAGCAGGCTGCTGCTGTTGGAAGAGCTCATCCAGGAGGCAAGTCCTTCCCTGTCTATACCCAAAGGCATACAAGAAAGAGAACAGCTGAAAGTGAGATTTTAGGCTAAGTAATTTGTCCTGACAAGGTTGAGCTGTGAATTCAGCACTCCTGGATTAGGGTACAGAGATCTCATGCGTACCCTGGCTGGCCATGTAGTGTAAATGCTCAATAACTAAAATTTTCCCTAGTTGAACCTATTACTTGTGTTATCATCCTGTTGAAATGACTGCATATAGAGTGCTCCACCAGTACATTTGTGTATCCAGCTGTTAGACTTGAAGTAAAAGAGAAGATGCTCTAACACCCGGCTGGACTAAAGGTGAAGAAATATCATTGCCTTAATTAATGTTATTCCTTCAGCAACATTCCCCTCTGACCTCAGTTTTCTAATTTCTTTATGGACAAAAAAGAAAATAAATGCGTGAACTTGTCCCATTTGGAACATGTTTACACACCTTGTCCATGTGCAAGTTTGCACTGGTTTAACCTGCACCTCTGTTAAAAACTGAGACCTGCTTTAAGCTCTTGGGGGATACTTTTAATCAATATAAACCTTAACCAACATAAGCTGCCTCAACTTGCACTCTTGATTTAAACCTGTCTTGTATCAATCTGACCAAAGATGACAGAACTTGGTTTTAAATCCATGTTGGGTCTGTGCATGTTGGATCTGTTTCAACAGAAGGGCTTAAGTTGTGATTTTAGATAAATGGCAACATGCTTCAATAAGAGGTAGCACATCACAAACACCCTACAGTAGATGATACTATGGTCAGTGTGCTCCTGTTCCGTGCTGTGGGTTGTTCCCACAGCTGAGTGTCAGGGTTACAACATCTCCTGGGTATAAATGGGAAGGGGGGGGACTGCGCTGAAACTCCTGTTACGGTATCACAGTATTTCAGCATTTGCTCCGGGAAAAAGCCTCCTTCCACCAAAGATGCTTTACTCGGGGGCAGGAACCCATGTCTGACCTGCCAGCATCTGCCTCGCTGGGGTCACCTCGGTTCACCTGCCTGCTCCCGGCGGATGCCGCACACACCTGCCCCGCTCCTGCCCTGCACTAGCGGTCTGCCGCACCCCGACACCGCCCCCCCCCGGGATGCTGCGGACCCCTCCATCCCCCCTTTGTTCGATGGCTCCGCCTGGCCCCTGGCCCCGCCCCTCGGGGCGGTGGGACCGGGCGGGAGGAGGTGCCGGTCCCGCCCCTCCCGCCCCCGGCGCGGCGGTGGCTGCGCCCCGCGGCTCTGCGCTGCGCGGCCGGAGCTGCGCGGAGCCCGCTGTGAGCCGACAGCAGCGGCAGGACAGCCCTAAAGGTAGGAGGGCTCCCGCGGCCCCGCAGCATCTCTTCCCGGCTCCGCGGGCGAGGAGGGTTAAAGAGGGGGAAGAAAGAGGGAGGGGAAGGGCTGATCCAGAAAAGGTCTTTTTCTACCTTTTCCGCTGCTGCTCCCGGCAGCCTCATGCTAAGAAAGGTGCGGGCTTACTGGAAAAAAGCCTAAAAAGCAAAAAAAGCCTCGCTCGTTTTCTTGGCCGGGAGCAGCACATGGAAAAAGCTGCGCGGGAGGCGAAGCATCAGGCGGCGGCAGCTCCCTTCGGCTTCCCCCGGGCTCTGGCAGCGCTGCACGGTGCTGCCCGTGCCCGGGCTTGATAGAGCAGAAATCTGACTGAGATCCTCTGGGATGAAACCTCTGTCTGCCATCCCGAAACTATCATCCCTGCCCGGGGAAAGGCACGAGCCTGGCAACCGCGCTACTGCTTTGTACAGCTGGGAGTTTCATTATTCTCTGCCTTTTTAGGGTGGGAAGAGGTGGTCTCTTTCCAGCCTTTGCCATTTGAACCCGTTTCATCGTAGCCGAGAGATTGCATCATGTTACAGTCTCTGGATTCAGTAAGGGCAAAGGCGAAAAGAGCCATCCTTCCAGATTTATCCCATTGGCTTCCCGGTCTGATCCCCTCCTTTTTATTTCCTGTTTAACAGAGAGGTTAAAACTAAAAAGCAGCCTGCGATTGGTAGCCGGTGGTTCAGTTCACAGCGACGTATTTTGATTTCTTCCACTGAGGGTTTTTTTGGAAGCTCTACTGTAACTTTCTTGGTTCTGTGTGCGTTGTGTCTTGTGTGTGTGGGATAGCGAAAACTTGCCAAAGATCTAGCCGGTAGGAAAATAACAGGCGGCAAAGAGCCTGATAAACAGCCAAAAGCAGGCGTTGCTTTATAAACGGCAAGCTCTGGACTTGGAGGAGGTGAATGGATTCAGGCAGGCATCTCTTGGAAACCGAGGCGTTCACCTGCCCAGAAAGGCAGTGTAGATGGATGAGTACAGGTTCTGAAAGGCAAGACAAGGCAGATGTCAGGAGCAGAGAAGTATTTAGCTAATCTGTCCTCTGGATCCTATATGATCAGTTTGATGCAAACACTTGGTGTGTCTGTGCCTGTTTTGTCATACCTTTGCAGTGACTTTTGAGCTGAGATCTGGTTATAAAACAATACATCTCAAAGCCAGAAAGATCCAGTTAAATATTGTACTGCAGTCCAGGGCTTTTTAAGCTGACTGATCTGCCGTTCTTTGTGCAGTTCTTTGTTTTGTTCCATGGGAAAACGGCTTGCTTTGGCCCTCAGTTGTGTTTTCCATACCTAGCATCTCACCCTTGCAGGTGCTCTGTCTCTGTCTGCTCCAAGTGTTACAGGGACACCTTTTTCTTTCATGAAAATAGCAGTATTTTGAAGTTCTTTTTCTCTCCTTCGCCAGGAAGGGTGGGTGTGTGCAGAGGCACAAGGGAACAGCTTGCCAGCCAGATGGATCCATCCATCAGTGCTCTCCTATATGGGCACTTGGTGCCCTTCCATCATCCCTTATGCCTCCTGGTGGTTTCCATGGGAAGAGCTAGACAATTACTTTCTTTTGAACGATCCATTATCCTTTTGAAAGTGGGGTGTAAGAGGTACAAATCCTGCATTAGAGCCAGAGGGAGATCTGTCCTGTCTCTCTGGGGCTATAGGGCTCCAGGTGGGTTTAAGAACAATTTGAAATGGTTTCTGAAAATAAGCAGTGCAGTTTTCTTTGTGTGTTCTGGGCACCCAGCGATGACAGTGACAAGCCTGTGCTCAGAACAATGAGCCGACACTCACTGCCTTTGGTGATATATGGCATTGTTTGGTGTTTCCCAGGAAATATATCAGCAAAATTCAAAGTAGTATGTGTTGTTCGTGAGTCTCATGAAGATTTTTAGAGGAAGGGATTTGGAGGACATGAGGGGTTGAAACTACAGTGTTTCTTGAAGCAGTATCAACAAGGAGGGGTAACATCCAAAGGCACACTCACACTGTTTTAAAATCTTACAGTCTTAGTGAGGTTTTTCATTTTCATCTCCTGAAGCTGTCAAAATTGGAAGGATGCTGTCAGAGACATAAAAATAATAAATCTCACTGGGGGCAGGCTGTGTTTGATACACATATGACTAATAGTGCTGTTCCTTTTAGTGGTACAAAGAGAACCTGCTGTAAGGTCAGACCAGGAACTGTCTTGCCCTGCTGCTCACTGTAGATTTCCGTAAGACGTTGCCCCATGACAAAGTGCCAGTGGTTCAGGACTGATTTATGCAATCTGGAGTCGACTGATTCAATTTCTGTCCATTTTCAGAAGTTTCCTATCTGATGCGACAGTCAATGGGAGAATGATATCTGGGATCCTGCCTGGTGAATGGCATTGTTCCAAGCTGCGCTCTTTGTTTTGTGAGGAGGGGGCGAGGAGGAGGAGGAACAGGAGTGCTTTATATTCATTAGCAAGAGATCTCTTGCTGAAGTGGGAGGGTGGGATGCAAGGACTTGTGCTTCCAAACCCCTCTGCAGTTTAGTTCACTCTGTTATTATGGTTTTAGTCACACCAAACCCTGCTGTGTCAGCTTTTCAGAGAATTTATGCATCTCTTCCAGTTACGCAGTTCAACTTGTTTTAGATGTGAATGACACCTACCTACTGGTATGATCCTGGTTTTCCTCTGATTCATCAGTTTATTGATCATGTTTCATCTGGGACAGGAATTGTCTGTTTGGGCTGGGCAGGTGAGTTTGTTACTCAGTAGGTGTTGTTCCAGGTTAATATACGCTAATACAAAAAGTTCTTAGGCTTCCAGTTGAACTCTAATCAACTCCAACAAAAATAACACTAGAAAAATGAAAGTCAACCAAAGGACTAAGAGTTACTGTGAACTCTGAACCAGGACTGAAAAAACTCAGTCTTGAAGGTACTCCTATTCTACACCTATTAAGGTTATCTACTGAAGTTTATGAGGAGGAGCTTTTCTACTATGAAGCATCCTGAGCTGGCCTTAGAGCAAACTTACGTTTTTAATATCACACCATGTCTTTTGGGGAAGTGTCTGTATAAAGCAATACAAAGAATAGTCTGTCAACACTATGAACAGGTAGGAAAACTGTGAGCAGGTATGAGCAACTGTTGGACCACACCTACCCCTCTATGTACATGTGGAGGTTTTGCATTTGTGTTGCATATGCAGCAGCACTGTAAAATACTATGTATAGATTAAATGATAAATTAATAATTAGTAAAATAAATTAGATTAATTGCTCTTACTCTCTGATTATAAGTAAATTCTTGATTCTCTAGGTCATGAAATACATGCTGATGCTAATAAGGCTAATGAATAGTATTGCAGGAACATAAGTGGAGTGTGTGGAAAGGGAGATATCCCTTAGCAGGTAACAAACTTTTGGCGACATAAGCCCTATTTTCTAGAATATGGTAAAACCTGAAATCCTGAACGGCAGAAACCCAGAATTGTCTGCCATCCATCACCCCACTTCCACCTTAACAGAAAGTTGGTCATGATGTATGGTGCTTAGTGAGCTTTGACTGCTCAAGGTGCTGAGCACCCTTAACACACAGGAATGGCAAATTGAGTTGATGGTGATCTCCTCTCTTAGAGCAGCCTTGGGATAATATACCGTGCTGTGAAAAGGATGAATTAATATCTGTTGTATATTTTACATCAGGAAATCAAGAGAAGAATCCCTGAAGAGGTCTTTGCGGATAGATTTAATTTTGTATCTTTTCGTTACGTGTAGTGGTATCTTAAAAGTTGATGGTATATGTTTGGCAGTAAAATAAGCAAAACTGCATAGGACAGTCTTCTTTAAATCTCTTCCTTAAATTGAAGGAAACACACATTTGGGGAAAAAAAGCAGTGCATTATTCCTTTCATGGTGACATAGTGGTGGGATTTTTAACTGTCTGGGGGATTTCTGCTGCCAGCATCTCACTCCTGTCATGTATTTTTGAGCTGAGTGATATAAAGGCTCTTCTTTCTCTAGGACAGATGTTGGTAATGGCCTTATTGTGCCAAAATCTTTATGAGTACAAAATGCTGAATAAAAGTATTTCCATAGATTAATAATAAGTGCCAGAAAAGAGTACACGAGTGGTTTCAAATTTAATCTGTAATGTAGCTGATGTCTCAAAGATAACAGCATTTTACCCCCAAGAAACCCAGCACTTTGTGTATGTGAGGTAATTGCTGAGTCGCAGTAAATATATATTATTCATTAGGGGACTGTCATTATATGATGTTTGTGAATTCCCCAAAGTCTCTTATCACTGTCCTAATGGCATCTCAACTTTTTTATGGGAAACAAGATTTTGGTGGCCTGCTTGACTGACTGATGTTTTGTCTTGCTGAATTTGTCCTCAGCTGGTAGCCACTTTTAATCAGCATGCATGTTTGGTTCATTTAAAATGAACAAATTTTGCAGTATAAATTCATGTATTCACGTTATCAGATAGGGTCCTTCACACAGAATATGTAGTGGTATGTTATCTCACTTCTGCAGAGAAACAAATAGTAGAAGTTATTTAATATGTTTCTATCATGCTAAACTACTGTACAATGTCTTCAAATGTATAAAGGCCCAATATCTGGCCAGCTGCTGTGGGTGGACTTTTTTTTGTCCATTCAAGTATGTTTAATTATCGATTTGAAACTTAACTGGTCTCTCATTGGTTTCACATGTGCATGGCATTCCTGTTCAAAACTGGAAGAGAAGGCAAGGTAAGGAGGGATTTTCCCTGTTATTAGTAATTTGCAGATCCAGATTCTATTTTGCTGTACCATTTCTTACCCAGAGCAGCTGCAAGGAGAGAATTACAGTGTGACCTTCACAGCGTTTCCTAGAGCCATCATCAATCAGATCTGGCAGGAGCTTTATCGCATCTATCAGTGTGGCTCATAAGCCACATGCTGTCTAGTCTGGGGGAAAAAACAAACAAACAATGGGAGCTACTGTAGGTTTTGTTTAAAATAAA